TAAGAAGCCAACTAATGACAGTAAAATTATCTGGACCCTTTGGATTGATTCTTCTGTTAGTTCATGCTGAAAATAAAAGGTCAATTTGCAGTTCTGGAAGTTATAAATAGCTATTTAGGAGTTAAATTGCAAGGTATTAATCAAGTTGCCTAGAATTTCTGTTAGATACTTATCCTGATTTTTTTTTCATGTTAAAGCTTTTTAAGCACATTGTGGTAAGTTAAATTTTAGACAAGATGTAGTTGTCTAATACTTGGAGGTGACCTAGGCTGTTGATGAAATTTAGGAGAATGAAGCAAAAGAGTATTAAGTACCTTACTTTCATGCATGTCATTTTTTGTTTCGACAGAGCCTTGTTTTTCATCATTTGTGAATATGTATAGTGGAACCTTATCTGGAAAAGCTCTACAATTCTTGGTACTTGTGTTTTGATTGAATTTATGAAGCGTTATTTTGTGGTTATCATCCAGGCTCCTCCACGAGCTGACGTGGTAAAGACTTTAAAAAATGGTATAGTGTTAAATCTTGTGGGTATGGGTGCTGCAATTCTGGGCATGCAAGCAACCGTCGGTTTACTGGTTGCAAAGGCGCTTACTACCTCAGCGGTTCCTTACTACCAGGGGATATCCCCTGGTCAGAGTCCTGTGTTGGCCTTGGATGTGTTCCTAGTGCAGGTAAATCTGTGGCTTATACTTATTTTCTTGACAGCCTCTTCCTTGACTTACCTTATCTGTTAAACTCCACCTGCACGGTATCTCTTACAATTGAATTCATCTCTTTTATCCATGTTTTCCGATGTCTTGTGAATAAACTATTATTGATACTTGTGAAGCTGCAGATGCAACTTTGTATGTGCATTTACATGTATCTGACATGAAAATTCACTTAAATACCTAATTTCAGGTAGATATAAGTTTTGTGTGACTAATCGAGAACCATTTTATTGTTTCTATGCAACTACATACCTGCATTCTTTTTCTTGTCCTGATGTACATATACTTTTTCTTCCTTTTTGCGTACGTGCCTTTTCTTGATGCTCGAAACTTATATATAGCTGGACATTCAGAAAGTGTTCTTTTAAACAACATACAGCTATTGAGCCAAACGAGGCTCAGTTGACGATATCTATATCACACATGTTATGTTGAGCATCAGTTTATTTGTTAAATCAAAACAACATATGCACAATGATGTTCTGCTTGGCTTATCCTGTTTTGCTCATGTTATGCTTGCTGTAACAGGCTTCAGCCAACACTATCCTTTCGCATTTCTTGGGGCTTGTCTTCTCATTGGAACTGCTGCGTGCGGTGACGCTGCCAAATCTGGAAGCTGTTCCCATACCCAAAGCTGCTTAGCTACTTAGCTAGTTTTCCAGCTCCGAAATAACGTAGTTGCCCCTTTAAATCAAGGTGCTGTTTGTTCACCTTGCTTGTGTGTTGATTAAATTGATGGATAGCTGCCTCTATTACATATCTGCAGTCCTGAGTTTTTGTGGCATCTAGAAGATAATCATGTGGTATAAACAGATTTAGAAATCATAGGCAAGGTGTCGACACGACCTTAACTATGGACTCTTCATATTAGGGTTATGAGAGGCAACCTCAAGAGAACTTTGGAACTTGCAGCGGGATTCGTCTTGATAATATAAAGAGATGTGTCATTTTTGTTCAGGGTTTGTGCCAATATGACCCAAGTATTGGAAAATATATCTAATAGTTGGCTCGATGTGTATGTAAGAGGATGAGGAGGAGTAGGTATGGTCTCTCATAGTCTTAAGCTTCCTGGCCCAGTTTGATAGTGCCAAGCGAATAAGGGGAAAGGTAGGGGCCACTACTACAAGTATTGTGTTTATGGGCTAAACGTTCCTTGGAACTTAGAACGAATATTAACTAGGTGTTAATTTTGGCTTGGTCAGCCTACAGTGCTCACCTACTGAAATCGTTGTACTTGTCCATATAGCATTGCCTGTTCTTGTTGTCCCTTTTAAGTTGTTCATTCAAGAGGTACGAGTGATATGGTTGGCTAAGTGTTCTTCTTCCTTTGGCAGTGTACCTAATTCATGAATGTTCCACATGAGTGTCCGCCTTACATCACAGTAATCAAAATACAAGAGGGTTCGGTTGTATGGTATAGTTGAAGACTCGCATGTTAAATTATTAGAGAATTATAATATGAGGTGGAGAATTACTCATATTGAAATAAAGAGGGTGGTATGGTAGAAGAGGATGGGGTGGGTTTAGGGGTAGCGATAGTGATACATCGCTGCCTCAACCTAATCCAGTTCTTCAGTCAAAGTCGGGGAGAGATTTATGGATCAATTTGGCCGATATGATGCAAGTTTTTTGTTTTGCTTGCGCAACCGTAAAGGTGGATTATGATTCTAAGATTCTGAGATGATCTGATAAAGTTTTTATCCATCAAATTAGCCAAAAACTTTATGTAAGAAGGTTATTGTCTACATTTTCGTTAGATGCGGTGTGGTTGAAAGTTTTTATCCATCCTCTTGTTTCTTGTCCTCAAGATTTTAGATTCAAGTTCTATGTTTGCCAACTATGTTTTTTCCATGATTTTTAATACTTTATAGCTAGTAATCATTAATGAACGTGCAAAATGATTGATCTATGGCTTACTCTATTGACCCAAGATTTGATCAAGTTACTATCTAGTCCGGTTGTTGATAAATATAGCTTGGGAGGAAAAGAAGTTTTTGTCACGATTGATTATTTTCGCTTAGCACAAACGGAACAGGAAAAGTGAAAAAGGTCCCAATCGATCAACATGTCATTTGTCCCGATGGATCGGATCGTCATCGGCTTGGCAGTGGGAATAATGAATGGGTTCGGTGGAAATTTATTTATAGTTGAACTGTTGGTTGTCATCAACTTCTAATTCCTAGAGATTTGGTGAGTTAAAACCCTAATTGAAGACGTACTTAGCATAGACTGTTGGGTTGGTAAGGACACATCCATTCAATTAAACAATTTTAGGATCCTATGAATGCCAAAGTACTATTTTGGGCTTCTTATTCTGTAACATGATTGATCCAAGTACCATAAAGAAATCCCAAACATGCTTCACGATCCATTTAATAATCCGGAGAGGGTGGAATGATGAGGAGGATAAGTGGATTTGTCGCTGCCCCCTTTTTGTTCCCCATCACTTTTGTACCACGAGAAATCAATCGAAAACGCCATCATTGAAGAATCACCATATTCTTTTGCTCAAGATGACCGACATCTTAGCTTGTCGTTTAGGCCCCCCCCTTCTCTCTCTCTCTCTCTTTGCTGGAAAGCGAGCCGTCCGTTTGGAAGAAGTTAAAACAGAAAAGGAATGGCATGGCAAATCCCGCCCTGACACGAAGATTATTCGAACACCTATTATCCTATCTGATCTCGTCCCCAAGTTTAAGTGTCACGCACACTTCGAATAGCACAATTATGCACCACACACGGCACATGTTTACTTGCGCGATTTGTTTACCTGATTCAGATACCCTTTATTTGATTTATAATAGATTTAAGCTAGAACAATAGGTATATTTGATTTATTGTGATGACATGACCCCAACCCCACTCTCGTTAAACCCACACGTGGGTTTGACTACATTGGTCACCTGAACACGTGGAGGGAGGCGAGCAACTACGTGGGTCTCGCTACCGCGGGGAACGTGCGTTATCCTACGTTCTCCACGTGATTGCAGACGTAACAGACATCACTGTTCCGCGTATCGGCATATGTACCTAAATCCGAATCCACATTTATTCTTCTGTCAGACGAACACCTACTTGTCTATTCGAATTCGTATCAAACAAGCTGCTGGCTGTAGACTTTGCGTTTACACGGGCACGTTTTCCTCGTCGCTGCCTCAAATCGATGCATATCATGATGTTGCTCGACGACAGCTTTACAAATGGTGCCATGATTGCTTCCTTCCATTGCCACCGTCCTCACCTTTTTATCTTGAACTCGAGTAAATGATGTAGGTTCCCCGATTTATGTGGGTAGAATTGACTCGAACACTCTAGACAACAATTTGTCATCTCAATCCGATATTAGGACAAAATATCTGAATCAAAATCTTAATCATACTATCTAAAGATCCAAATCCAACTTGAGCATATACTTTCCCTATTTGAATTCGGTTCTAACTCAACCTGGAACCTGAGGCAAGTGTTAATGTCGGGTCGGGTACGAGCCCGGACTGAAGACCCGATTTATGGCTCATGCACACACGTGGAGGTTGGAGGTCGCCTGCCGAGGAAGCAGGCAGATCAAGCGGTGTTGGGAAACGCTCCGTTCCGTAAACAAACCTAGCGCCGTTGGAGTTTGTTTTTCTTGGTGGTTGGGGAGAGAGACGCCGTGACAATACTCCGTCTCGTCCTTAACTACAACTTTGTTCCCAACCGCCCGACCTTCCCACACCCACCGCCTCATCCTCGCGTCTCTCTCTCGCAGAAGGTCCGATCGCATCGCAACGTTGCGTGCAACCGTTTCAGAAGACGTCGCGAGAGTCAACTAAAGCGACGTCGTATGGAGTAATTTGAATCGAAGGTAAAAAAGCAGCCAACGGCCTTCGCGTACCTTTTGTGCCGTGCATCTTATTGTTGGGGAGTCGGGACGGGGAAACGCGATCTGCATCGCCCGTACGACCTTCTGCGGCGGAGGCAGGGAGCGTTTAGTCAGTTTCGGAAATAACAGCAGCAGAGAGACGGAAGGAAACTGGTGACTATTCTTACCTCGCCGCTACCGCTCTTGCGGTCGGAGGATATGGGACCCAGCGGCGTTCCAAATGAGACGATGCAGGCGCCACGTGTTACTGCGCAACGTATGAAATGTGGTGGTTGATGTAGGAAAGAGGCGCGAAAAGTGATGAGGGGGCGACAGCTGTACTCAATCGAACCGCCTTCCCGATGAAGAGTGATGAGGCGGTCGGGGTGTGTGTAACGTCCTATAACCGGTTACTCCCGGTCGCCTCGCGATTCCCTCTCTCATCTATATAATCCCACCCCGTCTCTTCGCCTTCCGTGCTCGTATTTTTCCTATTCCGCCCTTGCCTTCTAACTCTCAGCAGGAGGGGGCGAATCACATACCTTTGTTCCTCGATCCTGTCGTTAGGAGTTTGGGCTGTTGGTCCAAGGATATCGGCGACGGCGAGTTCAGTGGTTGGGCGGAGCAAGGGGATGGATCGGACCAAGGGGTCGTGGAGCACAGAGGAGGACGAGGCGCTGCGGCGGTTGGTGGAGCGGCACGGGCCGAGGAACTGGACTCTAATCGGTCGGTCCATTCCCGGGCGGTCCGGCAAGTCGTGCCGCCTCCGATGGTGCAACCAGCTTTCGCCTCAGGTGGAGCACCGCCCTTTCACGCCCGAGGAAGACGAGACCATTATCCGCGCCCATCGTCGGTTCGGCAACAAGTGGGCCACCATCGCCCGCCTCCTCTCTGGACGCACCGACAACGCCATTAAGAACCACTGGAACTCCACCCTCAGACGCAGGTGCGCGCCATCCGTCCCCGCCGCCTCGGTGGTTGACCGCGAGGGCGAGACGACGGCACAGCCACCGAAGAGGTCTAGCGGCGAAGGGCCGGTGCTCGCGTCGGCGGGCGCGGGGCTTTGCTTGAGCCTTGCGAGCCCGGCCGGGTCGGAGTTGAGTGACTCCAGCCAGCACAGTGCAGCCACGGCGACTCATGTCGACCGTCCGGTTCCCATAACCGGCGACATCAGGGTTCGTCCTTCCCCGTCTTCCTCTTACCCCACCAGCCAGCAGCATGACCTACGTCTCGAAGCCCAGTCTTCCGTTGCCGAGGACGATCTCCTGACATCCCTGACTCTATCGCTCCCCGGTTCGGATCGAATCGGCGCATCCAACCGGCACCACACCAGCAGCGAGCATCAGCTCGAAGCGCTGCCACCGACATGGCGCTCTGAGAATCCAGGTGACGATCGGGCGCGTCATCCACCGTTCCAGTTCAGCGCCGAGTTACTGGCAGTTATGCAAGATATGATCCGCAGCGAGGTGAGCAGCTACATGTCTGCGCGCAGCCGCTCCGGAGGCGACCATTCGCGACCCGCCCTGGAACGGATCGGCCTAGTCAAAGATCGATTAGATTAGTCCTCATACAACTGTAATCGCTTACCCTTTTCGATTTCATTATGCAAGACAACTTGAATAAAGAGATTTTAAAAAGGGAATTTAATTAAAATGGCCTCCAGACGGTCACTTGGGACGCGTGGCATCATCCTGGCCATCCGTATGTGGAATTATGTATCCACGGATAATAATAAATGATTGCACAGGTTTAAACGCGTACCACGAGAAAAGGTGTCGGACAGATGATGTGGGGTTGTATGGTCTCCACCGTTGGACCGTCGCAATCCGAAGCCAGTAGACGGATTAGGTGAAGAGTCGAAGGAGTTCGTCCAGGGTTGACCATGTCACCGAAGCAACGCTAATCTGCCAACGAATAAATAGTAATGGCGCATCCGCTCCGACAAAGACATTTTTTGAATATGTAGGAACGACAGGCGATCAACACGAAATGTGGGGACATGGAAGATACAAGTACTTACGAAACAACGACATTATTCTTGGTTTGGCAGCAACAAGCAGTCGAACTCGCTGTCCATTCGACATCTCGTCTAGAAGAAGATGCTCATTGTAAAACTACCAACGAAAAAAGTAGGATTCAATTACTTGAATAACGATTTCACTTGTATCATTAACGAATCAATCTTTATATTTACTTGCAAACCTCGTATGCATGAATGAGATCCTTCTTTGGCAAAGAATTGTGAAGGAATAGCCGTTCTGATAGATCCTTCGGAGGTTTGTGCAGGCGGCACATCAAGCGATGCTAACCCCTACTTGGCATCAGATTTATCCATCAATACGCAGAAAGAAAAAAAAAATTCTCTAGTTTTTCTACAAAAACCTGCATATGAAAAGCTGTCATGGAAAGTCTAAAATCTCTACCAATTTGTCTTTTGATAAGGGAAAAAGAATACTAAGTTTTCAGCATTACAAGGAAAAAGAACACCAAATGCAGGCACATAATGAGTAAAACCATTTGCTACAATATACATGTGTAAACCCTTCTTATGATTTCTGTGCATAACATTCTTGGAGTCTCACAACCTTAAGCAGAAAAGCATCATGATATGTATTGCAAACAGATTGCATTAGATGGCCTGTACTCAACAATGATCAACGTATTTGCTGCAAAAACAGTAGCCTGTAATTATGTTAACAGCATGAATTCCCAACCAGCAGCTAACTTTAATTTCAAGCATAATATGTACCCTGGTTAAAGAAGTTATTATCGTAAATGATATATGGAGTTTTGATTCCTTAACTTCATTTCTATACCCTTTCTATACCATAGAACATAACCTATGAAGAATCATTCACGGAATACTCATGCAGGAGAAGTTATTTATATTTATATCCTTCATATAATAAGCCTTAATGATGGAGCAGTTTATCTGAAAACACTTTCTTAATAACTTTATATTTTTATTTCTAAATTCAGTAGAAGCATTGGAATCTTATCTTTCAAAATTTCCAAACTTATTTTGTCTCCAGTAAATGGAAATAATAGCTGATATTATCTGAATAGATACTGATGCCCAGATGTTATCCGAAATACTATTTAATCACTCCTCTTAGAGCATAATTTTTTTTTCAAATAATGTCCAAATTTCAAGGGTTTCCATCAGTAAGAACAGCTAATATGAACATGCCTTTTGGCTAGCAATATTCCTGTAATTTTAGGGACAAATAGAAAAGGCAGTTTGGGAATTCAACAATGTAGCTGATTCAGAGAATTAAAGAAGATGGCAATGGTGTTTTTGCTTGGCTTGTTAGAAGATCAACTTTGATAACATTTCAAGATACACTGAATGTGATAGACTGACACATCAGGCAAGGTCCATCTGATCAGGAATCTACCAATTTGATTAAATAATATATTAAGATTGCAAAACATGGTCAGAAGATCTAAGTGCAACAGCAGAGTCCACGAGCAACAATTAGAAACCAAAAAGACTGTACTATATTTTTAAAAAATCATGAAGATTTAGAAAAAGTATAATATCTATCACACATAAATATTTCTTCAAACTACACAAATAAATTGAAGGTTGGAAAATTATTCTCTTTGTCAAACATTTCCCTTCCAGAGAAGCCTAATGTGTTTTAACAGAAATGGCTTAACTGATACAAAAGAGTGAAATGTATAGGTGTCACTCCATAATACAGAGCCAAACACAAAAGGAAAGATCAATCTGTAGGCGATGCTAATGTTAGTTTTTCGTCTTCTTTTTGTCTGGCCAGCCATTCTAGTGTTGGTAATGCATAATAAAAAAAGAGACGTACATAAAGAATTCACAAGATTAGTATCCAGGATCTATCCAGAAAGGAAATTTATGCCCCAACAAAGAATACATTATCCAGAATGGACATCTTACATAGTTCATAATTAATGTATAATAGCATCAAAGACAGTCTTGTTCATTTAATTACCAGTAAACCAAGAATACAATTGCCATTTGTGGGACAGAAAGTGTCCCTATATTGACAATCTAACCAATGCACCAGGTGATGCACTCTTATACTTCTGCAAAACTATGTTCTCTTTTGATCATCACAAAAAAATGGGATAACAGAGGATTCAGATGCTTATATCAGCTACATAGTGGATTCCTAATATCTTATGCAAAATGAGTCGTCAAATGTATTTGTCGAAATTTCACTTGTTTCTAGAAATTTCAAGTCATAATATTTGGGTATGTCACTTGCAAACAGCCAAATTGAGCATAAGTATATAGAAAGTACTTTTTAGAACTTCTGACAACACCAGTCACCACAACATTGCCTTGATCTATGTAGATGCAGTACACCCATGAGTACCTAGTGCAATCTATTCAAACAATTTAACAAACAAAGCTTAGGAATTATAGATTATCACCTCTTTTTTCTCCTCTTAACATCCAATATTCAATTTGAATTTGCATTACAAAGATTATATTCCAGATCACATATTTCCAGTTTTCAACTGCACACCTTCTGCTCCAAAAGAAAAGTTCTTACTGTTTATTCCAAGTGTAAGCATATAAGCTCTAGATGCTCCCATGCTTTTGTCTGATATATAAGTTCTTAAGTTGTCCCAACCAAACTCATCCTAGATAGGCTCTGGAAATTAATTATCCACTATAATATTCCTTGCTTTTAGCCTCCCTATATTTGTGACATTTTTTTCTCTTTTTCCGGGCCTAATCCTCAGCTCATATTGATCATTTACCTCCTAGATTTTGCATATTCATGTTCAAAGAAAAATGATTCTCGAGTTTACACCCTCTTACTGGCAGCTCTAGCATACTTGTGGAAGCAAAAATCAAGTTCCAGGATGGCAAACTTTTATTTTCTTCATGAGCACACGACTACATCTCTTATATGCTCATCACTTCCACTTTTTATCTGCTAGCATACTTGAATCATCAATGTGTTCACATACATATAATTGCCCTCTAACTCATATGCTAATTCAACTTATCATTTCTGCAAACCAGCCTCATGTCAGACTAAATCTTACTATCTAACCTCAATACAGAGCAGCCACTGATAGAAAGTGATCTATCTCCTCTGACCATATATCCATCACTAAAGCTCCATTTCTTGCTAAGCCACTACATCGAAAAGGAATAAGTTGACAGATGTCCTCCAATAGATTATACATGAACATAGTGAAATGTGCGAACTCAGCAGCAGATTCTGAAAAGATGAACCCCATCTAATGTGTTATCCACTACAACCATCGGCTGCATCATCTTTCACAGCCGAACCGATGGCGCAAATCAAATATCGCGCACGAACGCTAGAGGCGCAATAAAAGAAGACACGAGAAACAGATTGGAAACCCTAAAACCAAGGATAGGTGGAAACCGTGATTTCGTGGACGTGAGGGCCGTGGTGGGCAAAGCCCCGTCGACGAGGCGATTGGAGCTGTCCGATAGATCGGCGGCCGCGTGTCCTCCCTCTATGGAGGTCTCCTCGTCGGCGCCTTCTTCGGCGTTCGCATCACCCGCACCTCTCCCTTTCACCTGCCGACCCCTTTCCCTCCGCCGCTTGCATTTAAAATTTGAAGGAAAAACTATTTTGTACTGTATTTGGCTTAATATCTGATTTCCCCAAACTAATTGTATAATATTATACAATTTGAATATTAATTGTTGCACAATACATGAGAAATATTAATTGTATAATAATGCCCAATATTAGTTTATTACAATTAAATATAAAAATGCTTTTATATATGTATATATATATATATATAGATAGTTTATCATTAAGATATGACTATTTACATCCTTTAATATTAATAGATATTATAATTCAAATAAAATTTATCGTTCTAACCAATATGATTTAATGTATTTATTAAATCATCATTAAACATCACAGGAACTTAAAATTTATGTAGATTATATAATTTTAATATTATAATAAAAAAAATAATTTAATTTAGCCAATAATAAGAGCTAAAACTATTTTTACAAAAAAAAAGAAAAGAAATTACAGTTGTTGCCATCAGCAACAAAGCTTCAAGCTTACGTCTTCTTCCACCTTCCATCTCACAACCAAGCAGTCGATGAAGGCACTAAGACGTGAGACATTCCAAATATCAAAGTCAACACACACGATCACACAAGCTACTTCTCCCGAGAAGCCAAAAGACTCCTTGTCATCATCCATCTTGCAAAGCACTGGAATCCAATTCTGCTGCTGCAAACGCCATCACCTCCCTCTGTCCTCCATAATACCAATTGACAGGAAGACAAAAGAAGTCGGCAGGCCCTTCTTTTTCTTCTTGGCGCACCCACAACCCGCAACTCTTCGTTTGTCTTTGTCCTCCTTGCCACAAGAATTCCCAATTCATGTAGTTCTTGTGCATGTCAAACAATTTTGATAAAAATGGGGCTTTTATAGTCATAATAGGCAGCTAAAGAAGATAAAAATTGGATTTTTAAGGGGAAAGAGGTGGCGGCGAGTAGATCCAGCGGTCCGTCCTCGGAGTCACCTACCGCCGCCGCGGCCGTGGTTGTTAGGAATCATCTTCGCGAAGCAGCCGATGGAGAGCACAGAGAGCGAGAGCTGGACCTCGTCTTTGCCCCACCGGGGCTGGAGGTGAGACCGCCACGTCATCGTCAACGGCCCGGGGGCGGCGGGAGGAGGACGAGCGGAACGGGAGGGTGTAGAGGGAGCGGAGGCGGCGGAAGCCCCCGAAGGCAAGCACCACCGTCCGGAGCTGCTGCTGGCCGCAGGGCACCTTGACACAGTCGCGGGTGCACATCGCCTCCCAGGCTCTCGTCCTCCGCCAGCCTACGCCACTGCCGTCTCACAGACGCCGCCCTTCCCAGCGTCCGCCCGCTTGAGCAAGCACCAGATCCTCCCCGAGCTCCGCCACCGCTTCCACTCCTCCGATGGATCTCTGCCTCTTGTTCTTCTGGGCGACCACAGCATATCCGCCGCGGTCATCGGATCCGTCGATCGAACGCCTCTTCATCGACCCTCCACCACTATTCCTTGTGACAAACGGGGGAGGGACGATGAGGAGGTATTCAATCGACGGACGCTGCGTTCGCCGCCGACGAGCATTCTTCCGATCTATTAAAGCAAAACGTCGCCGCTCCGCCACTAAAAAACACATTTAGCGTTTTATGAGACGAATGAATGAAATTACTAATTGACCCCTATCAAATCTTGGAGTCTTTACGTATAGAAAGTAAAGTTACCCATATACCCCGAAAATAAAATAGCTTCTACAGTTATATCTTCTTCTAAGAGTAACTAAGCGCAGAGAAACGCTAATAAATTGCTTTAGAATTAGATAAATGCCTTAAGTGTTTGAAGGGTTTAAATTAATGCCTCTTGCTTTTGAAAAAGAATATCGAAAAAAAATATGATTTTTCATCTTTAGATTACAAATTTGGTCTATTATTATGTCTCACTCACCATGTAACTACAGTATAGAAATTATTGATGCAAATATTAATTAACTCTATTGAATTATTTTTATATGTATATGAAAATATCATAAAAAATGTATGTTTATTATTCAAAGTTCTTTTTTTCTTTATTGACAATCTTTTACGGTTGATAACTCTTTAAAAAGAATAATTATTTTTAATTTATTATTTATAATCTTAATATTTTTTTATTTTTTTTATTTCATTCGTTTTTCTCTCGATATCATCGAGGAAGAAGCTAGGAGGAGGAGGATACATGTAGAAATAATTTTCGTACCCGTAATCGAGTGACCTTATGGATGTATCCTTCACTGATATCTATCTAATAAACTCATATTAACTACTAACATTCATGATAATAGTTAAATTTATAATATATTATAAAATATATATACCTAAAATATCTTTTATTACTTTCACTAATGATTTATCAGTTTCAACATATTTGGAGGAATGTTAATGCTAATTTGAATTTTAGAGTTTCTAATGCAATTGCATAAAATTTAATAAATTTGCAAATCCTAACTCATAGTGATCATTCAAATATTGTTCTGAATGCCTCAAATATGATGTAATCTTCATTTCTTTCTCTCCATAAGATTTTTTAATAAAAATCATAAGATTTTTTAGGAGATAATCATGGAGAGTCTTATAATTACTTATTTTAGATCTCTGGTTCACCTGTATATAGATATATCAGGGTATTCTTACATCTTTCCTTAGTCATATGAATCAATGAGAGATTATATATATTTTTTTTTTATTTTTTTATTCATAATTCATCACTAATAAGAAGAGAGGAGACGGTAGTCTATAATTCAATTTACAAATCGACATCGATATCTCTTTTAGATCCGATGATGATATATTCGTAGATCATATAAAAATTTTCTGAATTGTATCGAAACATATACATCATAAATTTAAAATATTATTATTTAAATTTAAATTTTTAGATTAAAAATTTTCATAAAAAAATATTTGTTTTTTATATCACCCTACACTATCTCCATGGCAATTACCCCCATACTATCTTCAGCTTTAACAATGCCAATACCTCAGTCTGGTCCAGCTCTTGTCCTGATAACTGAATGCCTCGGTGATGACTTATCTCATCGAAGATGACTTGTATAATCACATTCGTCAATTAAGAGTTGCAAAACACTTCCATTACACGCTTACGTTCACATGCAATCTCACCAAACTTTGCATGCAAAACACCTCATAGAGCTTCGAGTGTAATTTCACCCCACACCCCTTTTTTTTTTGTTGAAAGGAGATGTTGTAGTTAGTCACCAAACTCGAGAGGATTTTGACTCGATGTCAGCATTAGGTATAAATAATCTGAATATGTTGATTCTCTACAAAAACTAATATTTATAGTGTATCTATAAAGATTTGATTCTTTGATGCTCACATTAAAATTAATAATTTAAAATAAAAAATATATATAAAAGACAACATGTTGTGTATTCGATTCTCTGATACTGAGGCAATGATGAGCCGATCTATTTTGATGAAATCTCCACATTCATGATGTGATCGATCCAAAATATTCATCCAATGTCCACATTCAAATATACCTTATCCACGTGATGTTTTGTACAGCAACTTCCGGTGATCCTTCTCCATGAATGCGTTTCGAACAGTTCCAACCCACACAATAATTGGTCCGGTCCAATCTAAGCCAGCTCAGTGTTGTCACTTCACTTGCCGTGTCCTTCATGCATCACAAACAACGTTAAAGAATGCTATGCCCCCAATTGGATCCATTTTCCCCTGTAAATACAAAATTGATGTCTTGATCACAATAAAATACTCTTTAGATGTCTTTTTTTGTCCTTCGTATTTGGCCGTCTGATCCTCGACCAGCGCAGCTCGGCCGACGCTCGCATCACCGTCCGATGCTTTGCCCCGTGATCCCGCTGTCGCCGAATTATTCGCATAATTAAATCGCACGTTACCCACGCACACTATACGACGAAGTCGCCACTCACGAGCGCCTACGATCCCACAGTAGAATACCATTCGGGGCTGCGTGGGACCCAAGAATGCTTCCAGTAAGAGGCCAGTTAGACTCTGGGTGACCGATGGACGTGTGTAAATAATTGACATCGCTTAAATCACCCGTTACGGCCTGGTGCTTCGACTGACGTTAACTTGACCCCACGCTCGGCGGGCCCCACGACAGGCGCCATATGTCGTCCGTGCATCTCTCGGAGGGATCTTTTTTAGCCGTCGGTAGCTCCGTGAGGTGAGATCCACCGTCCGCTTGGGGCGTCGGCAGGCGGCTCCGACAGACGCCCGCATCTCCCGCCGTGGACATCCCAGCTGTCGCTTCTTCCCGCATCCGACGGCCGGGATCTCTCCACCGCCACTGCGGCAGCGCCGTGGTCCCGTCGCCATCGCGCCTCGGTCGGCCCGAGCGAAGCGACGGCCCCCCGGCTGCCAGTGTGCCACGTGCTGCAGTGCTCGCTGGGCCCACCGCACCCCCTCACCCCATAACCCAACCCATCGACTCACCCGTTCCCCCCCGGGCTCGCCGGTACATGGCGCGGTCTCTTTCTCTTCCTCTCCGTCTGAGCACTTGGTACGTCTTTAGTTTCGATCTCAGAATGCGAAAGACGGCGCCGCAGCACACCGAGAAGCGAACCTTCCCGACGCGAACCTCATTAATGAACGAGATGACCGACGACGGCATTCGTGTCTCCGATCGTCAGAAGAGTCGGGATCTGAAACAGCCCGCACACACTCTCTCTGTCTCTCTGCGTCGAAGCAACGAACGAAGAGCTGTTCTTTTTCACGCCGTCTTTATCATACTGATCGCCTTTACCCGTGTGTTTTGTGGTTGGAGAAAGGCACCTTCTTCGGGTGGGACCCTATACGGGGCTGGGTAACCGAGAAGGGTGACCGGAGGACGTGTGTTTAGTATCGTGGAAGATTAAACCTTAAGCTCCGTATCACGTGAAGTTTAGACTTCTGCCAAACGGACGGCCCAGATCGCTCACGCGGGTCCGGTATATAAGTGTCGACTTCCCCTCCCTCGCTCTGTTCAACTCACTGACCTTTCTTTCGTGCGTTAACTGTGGAGATGTCGGTGCGAAGAACTACGCACCAATTGAGCAGCGGGATGATCGTGTCGGGGCCGCCGGAGCCGCCGAAGGAGCGGGCGCCGGCGGTGGGGTTGCGGGCGGCGCCCTACACCGGCGGAGACGTTCGCAAGTCCGGCGAGCTCGGTAAGATGTTCGACATCCCCCCCGCGGACCCGGGCGCCCCCTCGCGGCCTGTGTCCAAGTCCCACTCCGGGCCGCTCGCTCGGTCGGCCCCCTCCTCTGGCTCCGGCCCGGTTCCGAGGAAGACCTCCGGTCCGCTCGCCCAGATCCCGCCGACGGGACTCATCACATCCGGCCCCGCTCGGTCGTCCGGCGGGCAGCCGGAGCTGTCGCCCAGACCGGCGAGGAAGAATAAGGGCGAGGCGTATGGGGGGGCGGTGACGGCGCCGGAGGAGGAGGCGTTCGCGTTTGGGGTCTCGAGGGTGTGGAGGTGGGTTCTGGTGGGGGTCTTCGTGGCGGGGTTGGCGGCGGGGGCGTTCGTGTGGGTGGCGGTGGGGCGGCCGGAGATACTGATCGGGGTGGCGGCACTGATGGCTGCCGTGGGGGTTTTGGCGGTGTGGAATTGGTCGATGGGGAGGAAAGAGGTGGAAAGATTCTGGCGGTGCTACCCGAACACTTCGATCGATTCCAGAAATCTCCCAATTGGGAAATTTGTTAAAATCACTGGGGTAAGTTCTCTTTGTTTACTTTTTGGTAATTAATATTTGCTTCTTTCCCCCTTTTCCTGATATTATCTGAAATATTTCATCTAATTACAAAATTGATGCGCGGTTGCAGTTATATTGCAATGAATCATCCAATCTTGAATGGTTCTTCTCTTGATGTCATTTTGGCTGCATTTACTGGAACACCGATTTGATTTTAATCTAGCTGAACACAGTGCCTTGTAGGGTTCCAGACACTAATGGTAATCGCCAACAATTATGCCCCAGATGCATTCATTTTACTATTAAAGAAGCTTGATGCTTAGAGCCCGCTAATGTGGAACAAATTATACTAGATCAGGCTAGCAGGAGGCACATAGTTACTCCATTGGGGTATCTCTGTAGACATATCATATTTCTCACTCATTATCTATGGTGGATCAGTCTAAATCAATATGTTAAAGTCTTCTTGTTTTAAATCCTGTGGAAAGAACTGGAAAGAATGAGATAAATGAAGTGAATAAAGATTAGATTTATGTGGACTATCCTCAGTTGTATTGTATCTTAGGAAATCATTCAAATTTTAAGTGGTAGTTTAATGAGATAACATAAATGACATTCCAAAACCTGCATATGTTTTATAAAGACATTGTAGTCTGTTTTGCTTTGCTTGATATTGAAATTTCCCACATTTTTCCATGATTAATGTATAACATTGGTATGCAGCATGTCACTTGCGGAAGCATCCCTCTTGAATCATCTTATCGAAATATTTCCAGGTGCATATATACGTCGACCGAGCTATATGAGTATAAGCACTTCACATGGGGATTGAAATATGCTGAGGTCAGTCTTTGAATATATTAACAAGTAGAGTAGTCATTGCTGTACGCTTAATTTTAATCTTATCTTCACTCGTGTAAGCAACATAGAAATGCCATCAAGTACTTCATGTGTAGTTCACAAAAGTTGATGTGTGTATCCCATACTTGGCAAAATGTGATCTCCATATGCTTTACTTTTAATACTATACATGCCTTTCTTGCATTAAACAAGTTATGAAATGTTGTCGGGCCACATCATAAGAGATGAATTTAACTTTTTTGGTTTATTCTGAGTTAATATTTTCCTAAAAGTATAAGAATTAATGTAGTTAGTTAGTTCTAACATAGAAAGTTCATAAATGTTTTTGCCCTTTACTTCGAGATAACCACACCACCTAGGTGTCTCGAATTGTACATGGTGGGCTAGGAGGTTGTACAGAAGCGGCCCATCACATCAGTGCTCGGATGTGATGCGAAATAGACAAGGCTTCTCTTATCATTTTAACCAATGAGAGTATAAAAGTTAGTTCAAAAATAAAGAGTTAAGTTAACAACTTAGATGAACAAGAAGTCTCTTTAAATAAATGCCTTAGGTATTTTAGATCAATTATTCAACAAGATAAAGAGATCAATAAAGATATTATTCATAGAGTAAAAACAGAATGGTTAAAATGGTGAGGGACGTCAGGAATCTTGTGTGATGATTGGATACTTTTGAGATTAAAAGAAAAATTTTATAAGACAGTTGTGAGACCAACTATGTTTTATGGATCTGAGTGTTGGGCAGTCAAGAAACAAAATATACAAAAAATTTATGTTGTTGAGATGAGAATATTGAGATGGATGTGTGGAGTTATTAAGAAAGATAGAAAAAGAAATACATTTATTCGTGAACAACAAAGTATTACATCGATAGAAGATACGATGAGAGAAAATTATTTAAGATTGTATGGGCATGTGCTTGACCTTGGGATAGGATAGACAAAAGAGATGAAATAATTAATGTTAGTAGTATGAGGAGAGATAGAGGAAAATCTAAAAAACTTTAATAGAAACTATAAATAAAAATATAAGTAATCTAAATTTAACTAAACATATGATTTTTTATAGATCTCAGTGGCAGCAAAAAATCTATGCAGCCAACTCTAAATAGTTGGGACTTCAATTATTGTTACTAAAAAAATTACAAAAATCACCGTTGATGATTTCCGATGTTCAATCATTAGACTGAAACAAATAGAAAGCCTTCTGATTATTGCATATGATGTTCAAGTTAATATTATGACAAGACAATTTGCATATCTTCAATTCCTGATTGTAAATGGGAAGTTTCTCAATGTTGCATTAGAATTCAAAAAGAAGGAATTTTGTAAAATCAACAAGTTGATAACATTTGTGAGAGACAAACTTGCAATAGATACTGCGATAATTGAGCCATCATGTGCAGAAAAAGCAAGCGAATCAACAAATGCCTATTTTACTGAGCGTGCTTGATAAGGTGGACATTTATGAATCTCATGAATTAAGGTTCTTCCAGGATCTGCCTTGGATTCTAAGACCGGAATTGACCAAATTAAATCACAGGATTGTGTTTTTCCAGAACTATCAGAAGGAGTTTGAGATTAACAGGAAATATGTTGGAGATAAAACAGCATCAGCAGGATGGATGGATGAGCCAGAACCAGCTCAAATTACCAAGAATTAACTCAACTGTCAGGAAAATCTCAATTTACAGGATAAGTTGGATCAACTTGGTGTCAATAGACACAAGCTGACTTCTGACTGTTCCTGATGATCACTTAAAAAATTGGAAGGATTAGCATTGGGCTTAGAGGATCAAATCACTGCTGGGCGATCTGCAAACTATGTGATGAATCCATGACCTGCATGGATCAAAGGTGGTTGGTATTGATTTATGACACAATAGACACAAGACCTTTACCATCATAAGGGAAAAAAGAGTTTTCCAGTTTATGAGGACTATAATAGTAGAATGATAATTGACAAATAAAAATAGTGTAAAAGTTTGATCAGCCTTTAGTATCATGTGATGAACACTAAGGAGATGTGCAAGGTGCATGACAGCATGAGCATAATTTTACAAATTAGAACAAATTCAAATAGGAGATGATTGGGTTGCCTGATAAACGGAAGAAGGCATGATGAGATAGACTGTAATGAAGTGAAGCGATGTGGAAATCATTATGAGCAATTTTAAAGAACAATGGGCAAATACCCACTATTTTGTTGATTTGGGTTGTAGATTAGTCGAAACTGACAAATCTTTCTTTCTGTAAAGCTTTTAAGCTCGCTGTCAGCTGTCCAACATTAATCATATACTAACATTAATCATTGAATTAGTTCTAAAATTAGTTTCCACATTGCAATCCCAAAAGAAAGACCTGACTTTTTGCATCTCTTACAAAAACCCAATAATTTCTCTAAATGAGTTTGAATAGCTCACATATGCTGTAAACACTAAGTGCTCAAGGTTATATACTTCCTGTATGTTCATTTAATTGTTGATATCAATGTCGAAGAAGTGTTGCTTAGTGTTGACTAGTTTTTTTGCTCATTTTGGCAGAGGTATGTTGCAGATTTCTATATATCTGATCCAGATACTGGGACAAGGTTTCTTGTGAGAGCAGGAAATGGAGCCAGAGTTACTTGTTTTGTTAAACCTGCAACTGTCATGGAAATAAACAAGGATAATAAAGAGCTATCTCCTGACTTTCTAAGTTGGCTGACAGAGCACAATATTACCAGTGGTAGTCACATAATGCGCCTTAAAGAAGGGTAAGACATTTTGAAATTGACTAAATAGAATATGGTGATTTCATGTCATGCTCCAATTAGAGTATTCATTTATTCAGCAGAGGCTTTAAATTTGGGAATTTTTATATTCCATTTGTATATTAAGCATAAATATACAAAATCAAGTGATGAAAATAAAAATATACAAATATTATATATAGGCTTTTGTGAAAAGGATAAGTAGCGAAGGCCGTATTCGAGGTCAGGACTTTGCAATAATCAGTCAAAATCTTTACTGGTCAGCACCTACATATAAGATGTTATTGTTGGGTCTTGAACTTGATCGATTGAGGCTTTGAGTTAACTCAACTAGGAATGCTTTCAAGTAGAGTTTTTGAATGTTGATTTGTACCAAAATAGATTGGATAAACGGGCTGCACTTTACCATATGTACCGGACAAACATGAAAAGGAGGAGCATAAGCTTGAGGCAATAATTATAGATCCATGTTCTGAGGATTCAATCCCCACCATTTACCGCTCACATTATTTCACATTCTGATATATAGTATTCTACTTTTGAGGATGAACAATAAACTGATCATTCTCTACTTCCAAGTAATAGCCACCTCATGGTGTAATATGTTTCCTTATGCACAAGGCCTTTCCCTTTATAACTGATTCATAGTGCTATCTGAAAACTTGATGTATAATTTTAGAAAGACCAATGGTTTAAAATGTTCACAAAGTTATTAATCTGAGTGATACATACCTATTTCGATTAACTTGATGTATACATATTTCGATTTATATTAAGCAAAAAAAAAAAAGAGTAAATTCTTTCAAGTGAGTTCTTTCCGATGATGTCTGAAGTTTCCTTGAAATGATTTGGAAGACTATTTAAGGGTTACAATGATCACTTGTTGCATTTCTAGGTAGGTTACTGTTGGAGAAAGCACCATAGTGGGAAACCGATGGGAAAATATCTTCTCTTGCTTCGTTCATATCATATGTACATCTTCGGTGTTGTGTACTGTATCCATTATTCATCAGTTTTTAATGGAAAGGATAGTTATTATAAGGATTTTGGAGTAAAAGTTGAAAAAAAGAGGACAGATTGCAGTAGTCATCAAACTTCTTAGCTTTGAAAGCTGGTGCGTGTCAGCCTTCTCTAAATCATTATGCCATTTAAGTATTGGTGATATTTAAAAGAGATGCCAAATTATTATGCCTCTAGATCTCCAGTCTCTAGTGTTATTACTGCATCTTTACCAGCAAGGTATGCTTGTACTTTCTTGTTTAAGATCACCAAGCTAATCTGGATGAACTTGATATCATTCTCATTTCTTTTTATTGTCATTTTATTTCTTTGTATATTGGTTGTTGTTCTCTTTATGAATTCAGTAAGCATTTAGTCTTGATGATGACATGAGAAAGCCTTTACTGTTGTCTTTTGAACTTCCATAGTTTTATGTTTTCAATTTCATCATCACATTTGCTGAACATGATAGGTATATCAAAGAGGGCAATACTGTAAGTGTGATGGGTATCCTCAGGAAGCATGAAAACCTAATCATGATCGATCCACCGGAAGATATCGTATCAACTGGTTGCCAATGGAGGAGATTTTTCTTTCCGATGTCTGTCGAGGGCCTCATCCTAATAGGAGATGAACGACCGGATGAGGTGGTATATCAGGTGTAAGTACTGTAAAGCCATCCCATCCTTCCTCTAGTCTCCAGCCAAAGAAGAGAACAGGTGAAACTAGATGAGCTTTACATATCCATGCATACCTTCTTTCTCTGCTTTAGTTCAATGTCGATCCAAAATAAAGTGTAGAGTGTCTACAGATGTAATCTGGCCTTCTTCAGTTTCAGTAGGTCTTTTTTGGCTGAAGTCGGATTTGTATGTATTTCTTGTACATTGATGTGGCATAAACTAAGATGAGGGTGGCAAGCGATAAAGCCTTCTCATTCTGCTTATCTGTGAGAACCTTCATGGCTGGTTTCGAGTTGAAGCCTGTGGACATTGTAATGAAGAAGAACAAAGAAAGTGTACAGTTATTCTTCTTCCCTGTAATATTGCAGCTAGTAAACCTAAATGATTAGCTGCTACAGAGTACAGCATACATCGCAAGTGTCATCGTCGATAACAATGATGATGAAATCTCATCGGGAGCGACTGCCATTCGGCCATTCGATATCCCTGTCGCGTTTCTCGGCCTCTAATGCATGTATCCTTTCAGAAGAGGAGATGAATTGATTTAGTGTTGATAAGTTACATTAAAATTTTGAATTGAATTTGGGTATCATATTTCTAAAAGGAGGGATGAAATTGGAAGAATAATATATGCTGCTGACCTGTTATTATTTTTTTCCTGATTTTTTTTAATACCATGAGATCGAAGATATCTTATCAATCATATTTTAAATACCTTAATATGAAATTACATGCTTTTTTTTGTTCCTTCTTTAAAATTTCTTTTACATTTACTATTTTCTCACAGTTGCTCAAATATACCTAAAATTGGCAAAGATCCAAAGGAACATGCTTGTCCTCCAATGAAGGATTGCTTCTCGAGTAATTAGTTAGTTGCCAATTCAATGGTGACGAATGACACCATCTATTCGATCTGACAATGATCCGTCGCAAGAAGTTCACTGAACCTTATCATTTAGACCCATTGACGAGGACGACCATGAATGCGTCAATAGCAATTCTTGTTTCAAGAATTTGGATTTGGTGTGAAATAATCTGATGAATATATTATTCTTAATCTTAACTTAAATATTTTAACTAATGATTTAGGAATACATATAACTCTGTATGTGATCAACTCTAACTTCAAATCGATCTCACAACTCTAACTTCAAATCGATCTCATTATAATTCTTAGATCCGATGATAATATATTTATAGATCTGATAAAAAAGTTCTGTATATGATTCAAAGTAATATATGCAGAATATTTTATTTTGGATAACATCGACCCATCTATGGTAATGTAAGATGGAAAGCGGTCTTTCCACCGTAGAAAGAAAGATGGAAAGCGGTCGTCATTAAGATGTCACAAAAATACATATCCAAGGAATAAGACGTAACATCTTTACACTCATCCGACGCGACCGAGGCAGTTGATCCCCTTCGTCACTCGTCCGTGTCTTTTGCGGCAGGCATGGGGGTCCCGATGAACCACCACCGCCGACGCAAGGAAGGCGATGCTCGTCACTTATGCGTGCTTCGCTGGTGCGAGGAGACGAATTGGTCGGTGCGTGAGGCTTCATGGGTTATAGCTGCTCTACGGGGTAGTAAAGGAATAATTAGATTCCGCTCAACTTTTTGATTCGCACGAAAACGTCTCAGATAAGCTTTCACATACCTCTGATCATCACACCGCTCCTTCCTGGAAAATCCCCTCACCGCCCTGTGAGTATACTACCATCAAGATTTCGACGATTTGAAGGTAATAATATATTTTTTGGTCACACTATCTATTCGCGGGTGTGTGGTAACAACACGTGGGGTGATCATATCGTACGTCAGTCTGAAAAATCTGCTTACCAGCCGGTGGAAATACCGTCGTCGAATTTAGACGATTTGACGTCTAAAAATTTTTTGGTAACTAACTTTTCTTGATTGCATATGTTAGGTAAGCATACGTGACGGTGATCGTACCAGACCTATTATGAAAAATCCGCTTACCACAAGGTGTGAATACCGACATCGAATTTGGACAACTAGACGCCTAAAAATTTTTTTTTGGCCACTTTTCTTGATTGCAGATGTTAGGTAAACATACAAGGGGGTGATCGTACCAGATCGATTATGGAAAATCCCCTCACCCCCCGGTATATGTACAACCAACAGACTTTTCATGTTCTATTGTTCTTTGACGATGGCAGCCTATCAGATTCACGGACACCTGCGATCTCCTCACTCCCCCAAAGATGATGATTCATGATATATATATATATATATATATATATATATATATATATGGGAGTTTGACAAAGGTGTGAATTCTTATGAATATAGATAGGTTAAAGGGTGTCGTGCAAAGATGAAGGCATCTCTGCTTTCTTCTGCGCTTCTTTAACTCAACTCGCATAAACTTGGCAAGACGATGTTGGCAAAATGAGATCTCGAACTTGGATGTGGTCGGTCAGTGAACGCTAATGCAAATGAAGATGTGGTGGTGTCTTCTGACGATTGCCTACTCGAAACGAGGATTTGATTCTCATCAACACTGAGAGAGGATCTGAAGGGTTATTTAGTAACTGGTTTAGTTTTGTGATGGACACTGGATTTCTTCTTCCCTTGAAGCAAAATAAGATTCTACCTATTGATGAGTCATGTCCTCTTTGTTCATGGTTTTGTTCATTGTGTTTTCTTCTATCCACAACAAATTAAGGGAGAGGTAAAGAGCAACTAAAGTATTTGAAACTGGTAAGTAAAGATTGTCAATGAGAAGTTCTGCCCAGGATTTCTGGTCTTGTAATTTACCGTAGAATCTGATTTGGCATCATTATTCCCATAAACCAACTTTACATGGTGGAAAATGGAGATAGAAAATTGTTCTCATCCTTAAACCGCTTCTGTTGTCTTCTTCGGAGTAGCCAACAAATCTGTGGAACAAAAATCACCATAACTTACAACATGCATCACCTGCTATTCCTTCGTTGGAAACGACCATGGCTCCCGTATCACCAGCTACCATGCAGATCTTGAACAGCCAAGCTGAAATAAGACAGGCGAAAAAAAGGGTGAAATAGGAAGCAAAATCTCCATGTTGGAGCCATGTCCGAAGGGATGAAAACGAGGGGTTAGTGTTTGATCGGGTTCAATTTTGCGGAGACTCTGGATGAGGTTCAGTGTCTGATGGAGAAGAATTTGCGGAAGGATTTCCACGCTCATGAGTACCAGATTTCATCCTTGGACCACCTTTCTCGGATTCTGCAAGCTGTTCAGGCAACTTTGATGCCTTGGAAGATGAATCTTCAGCTGATGTCCTTGTAACTTTTGAACTCCTTTGACCAGGAAAGAGCGCTGATGGCTCCGAATAGGCAGCAAATGGTTGCAGAGAGTAGCCATAATAGTTAACCAATGGATGATCAAATTTGCAAGTGGTACCATACTTGCAGCTTCCGTATGTGGTGTAGAAGGTGCACAAAGGCTGACCCTTTCATCAAAAAAAGAAAATGCAATTAGGTGCTTTCTATGGCAGAAGAACCGAGAGAGAATAATGAAGTAAAAGAGTAAGGTTCAAATTTACTGGTCTTAAAGGAAGGCCCAGGGGTCCTATGGTGGCCATATCTGCTTGGTTCTTCTCTTTTGGGTGATGGTACTTGCAAGAAGTTCCATATTTGCAGCTCCCAGTTTTCATATAATATTGGCATTCTGGTTGGTCCGGCCTCTCAGGTAAACTTAGTGGCATGCTGGAACCTGGCTGTTCTTGATGTCTGGAGTTCGCTATCTTACTGGGCACAAGCATATCGGTAGAAGAAATATCATTCATACTGCCCTGGCATGCATTACAAGCTGGCATAAGATGTCGACAGATATAAACTAACCTTAAAATGTGCCACGACATGAATGAAAAAGTGACAAGTATAGGAGATTGGCTTTCATATGTAACTCACGAATCATTCTAAGAAATAATTGTTTACCAGTGATTCTCAATCATAGCTAAGGGAATAATGAAGCATATGAGACCACGTATTGTTGTACCATGGCCAAATTAGTGGGTTACTGAACCCATATAATGCTCATGAAGGTCTCAAAATATTTAGAATCCCAACTTAAAAATTTCTAACAGTTCCATTTAGTAAATAGTGGTATAGATAGACCATCATGCCTAGTTTCATGAAGTAAAAGAAGAATATGCATAAATTTGCAAAATTCCCAGGCAAGCACTGAGGCCTATATTGTTGTTATGTGGCAAGTGGTCCTTATTTTCTTATGACAAGTGAGAAAGAACCATAAGAGTCATGTTTTTAGGGTGCAATAATAAGCCGCATCCTTCGAATGCTTCTGGGAGTGCCAATGGAAGCTCATACCATCATGATTAGTCCTAAAACAAGAATCACTAAGATTTCTCAAAAAGATGTGCTTGTGATAAGAAAAAGATATATTGGAATGATTTTTTACAACTGCTTGCAAAAAAGGTAACCAGACCATAAGCACCAACTTGAAGGCTGTTTAAACTCTTTGGATTAGCTTTATATGAATTTGTCAATCTGTAGAACTATTTTCAACTCTTAAAATATTTCTTCACTCTACCCAACAACGTAAATCTCTTATCATCTTTTTTTTTGTTAATCTTAATTAGCGGGGGAGCATCCTCTCAAAGATATGCACATATAATCTTAATGACTCCTTATTACTTATCTTCTATTTTAAGTAGCTTATGGCTCCTCTAACATGACATTCTTCACAAATCCTTGTTTATTTTTCAAAAAAACAACACTACTAAAAGCAACTGGTAATTTTTTTATTAAATTCACAAGTATCATCACATTCACAGCATTTCTCCCATCTCACTCAACAGTTCTTTGATCATTTTATATCCAAAAGCCACCAATCTGTCTCATGCATCCATCCCTAACTAAGTGGCCTCTTTATTTCAATTTCAATTCCAATTCAACAATTGTTTTGTTCCATATACCCTACATAAAAACACTGATCAAGCTATTATATTGCCTTCCATCTACCTTGATTGAGCCCTCATTTTCATTTCCATCTTTGTTGAACTTTGCTTTCTGTACACAATTTTTACTTGTGTCATCGTTTAGACACTGATCAAGCTATTATATTGCCTTCCATCTACCTTGATTGAGCCATCATTTTCATTTCATCTTTGTTGAACTTTGCTTTCTGTACACAATTTTTGCGTGTGTCATCATTTAGGCCTTTTAAGTTTTCAACCATTTATATAACTTGGCATTAAATTTTTTTTTCTTACTAACTAAACAATATTACCTCCAAATCTCCTGCTTAAAAGTAGCAACACGTGCGCATGTATAGTAAAAAGACTGTATTCACAGCATGCTGCAACTGTGAATGGAAATTATTTAGTTGCACAAGAAGTATTTTGTGTTTATCTGATAACGTCTACATAACTCATATAATATTTTTTAAATATGTACCTTAAGAGGAAGATTCATGGAACTAATATAATCAAACTTCATTTGTAAAACTTGAGAAGAAAATCTACTTGCTGCTGTTGGTTTTGCTCTCTATATCCACGTGGCATTCACATGCATTTTGTACCCATACACCTTGCCCAAGGACAATACATGGCAGCCATGACTAACTCCTTATGGCAAAAAGAAAAGTGCATAACATATGCACATAGCCGGGCACAGATATGGCCTCGGCATGAGACTTCAAAATTGGTGGGCACTTTACAACATTGTATGGTCACCCAGACAATATTGTCTCAAAACATTTCTTTTTGTTTCCTGAACGAGACAATTTGCTTTAGTCATTGAGATTGTAACATTTATACTGAATGTCGGTCATTTCCCAAGTACGTTATTTATACAATTTAGTGCCTGCTTATATTGTTTCTAATACCTAATATGGATGACTAAGATGGAATGGAATGAAGTCCTTGTGTTGCTCAAACTTGTCAGTGCATTCATTACTTTGCTCCAATGAAATTAACTATAATGTGGTATCTTACAGTTACATTACTAACCTGTTGCCCCTGCTACCTAGATTGCCAGCAAGCATTTCCTACAGAAAAAATCTTTCCATTTTTTTCACATATACATGTCTTGTAGTAATAAGAATGCCTTTAGATAGAAAGTTAAAAGCGATAATATTAGCATATTTTGTATGATTAAGTGACTGAAATTACAATACCATAAATCATCTTTCCCTACTGATCTGTCAAAGATGGTTCTAAAAGCTGAAAAGGAGTGGCACCAAGTTATATATAAGTCAAAACCTAAAGGGTGCATCACATTGCAAATGCATGGAGAGGATGCTAGGAAAAAAAGAACATCTGAAAATTGAATTCTGTAACAAAAAGGTTTAACATCTAAAATTTAAAAGTGCTTCAGAGATATCAGTTAACAGACTAGCTTATATGAAACATGCAAATAAATGTATTACAAAGATTGAACCAGAAAAAAAGGCATCATATAACATACCAAACAACTATCTAATGTTGACATGGTTTTGTTAAATCTGAAAATAGATATCATTTAACATACAAAGTTTTACTTTTAGTTATAGAGTATGCAGCTACTAACCATGTATGTGCTCCAACCTTGCTGCACAGGCATATTCCCTTGGGAGGGTGCAAGAACAAAAGGTACATAAGCTGGGAGACCTTGCATACGTGGACTAGACACATAAGGAAATCTAGAGAAAGGCCATGAAGAAATTCCACCAATTACAGTTAGCCCCGAAGTAGGTGCCATGGAACCAGAATATCCATAGACTGAGGATCCTGTAACAGAGAATGCTGATCCAGGGTTGGCAGGCTGGGGATGATTGAACTTGCAGGCAACACCATATTTACATGACCCAGTTTTCATGTAATGGGCACATTGCTTTTCATCCTGGAAGCCAAATCAAATAAACATTAAACAAAAGTCTCATCAATTAGCTACAGGGTAGAAAAAACCAAGGTTTCAAATCTCAATTATACTGGCCAGTATGGACCAGTTTTTATTGGTCCGTCCAAGCACCAATATGGAAACATGTAGCTCAACACCAATAAAATAGTATTCATAATTTTTATTACTTTAATTAATGATACCAGGTAGTATAGGTCGCTATACCGCCCAATATATTGATCCTTTACCGATCTGATAGTTCACAGCTACCAGTATCAATCCAAAATTAAAATCATTGTAAAAGTTGATTGTGACATTGACAAGTGAAGATGGTGGAAAGTATATTGAAAGTTTGAATTGTATAAGAGTGCTACGAAGCAATAGATACCTCACGGATAGGTAGACCAAAAACATTCAACTGAACCAGCCGTGTATCATGTTTGTCTCGTGGATGATGATATTTACATGTTATTCCATATTTGCACATTCCTGTTTTCAGGAAAAACTGCAAGAATAATTGAAACATAACCAGAGACTATTCATCAAGTGTCCATCAATCATATGCTATTTGATGAACTAAAAAAGGCAAACATGAAAAGAAGTTAAATTGGCAGAGTAAAAGAGTCAGCATAGCAGAGTTAAACTGAAACAAACATGTTGGTTTATCTGGATATCAGACAACGGTAAAGAAAAACTATACAACAGTAAGAGAGAATCATGTTTCAAAGCAAGAGACTAGTAGAAACCCATTGCTGTGCAGATATCTGTTCGGATGCACTTATCCATGCATGGATAATAATAATAATAATAATAATAATAATAATAATAATAATAATAATAATAATAATAATAATAATAATATTATTATTATTATTATTATTATTATTATTATTATTATTATTATATATGTTACCAACAAGTATTAATCAAATTTTATTTGCCTAAAATGACAAAGCCAGCCATTATTGTTCAGTGGTCAAAACTCCAACTATTGGTGGATAACCATGGTGATAGGTGAAGACCTACAGGTTGCATTTGTATGCAATATTTACGTTTAGATTTCCATAGTTCTTCTTTTGTCACAATTTGTTTCCATGTTGATTATCATATTAAACAGTAACAGACTATATTCAGAACATCCTGTATTTACCAGTCAGATACAAGAAAACACAGTTGTCTAGCCTTTTGAATCTCATCTTTGATGGTCTGTATCCAGAGACACCCTAGAACATATGAAGAAATAACAGGTTTATGCTCATGTAACAACTAATTACAGAAGCGCAGTCATCCTTTCAGAAACTAAATGAATGATAATACTCGTTAAATAGAGGAAAATAAGAGAAAACCTTTAGTGAATCTCTTAGAAATGATAATCCAATGAGATGATTATTGTTGATGAAAGGTATCATTTAGCAAAGATAATCATGGCTGGAACCACAAATCCTTGAAACTACATCAAGTGAAGAACTAATAGCATCAAGTTGATGAACTTTAAAATATGAAACTTTGCATGAGAGGAAGCTTGACGCGATATGAAGTAAAAAAGGAGTTTGCAGCAAGAAAATTGCATATTGTCTTGCATTAACTAAGATATTTGAAAAATAATATCAAATTAAAAGAAAGAAGTTATAATAGATCCGAAAAAGTGTCAAGTACTGTCAAACCACTTATTATAAACCAAACTAGAGAGATACACCAAAATGCATTTGGTTGATTCTCTTGAAATCGACTCATTTTTCTACTCATGTAGTTGTTGCGTCAATATGCACTAAGTAGCATATAATAAAATCTTCCTCATAAAGAATAATTTGGATATATAAAGGAAAGGCATTGAGCTTGGGAAATCAAGTAGTCCAATAAAGTTGTGTATACATATTTCAGATCTGTCTTAAGCATGCTTATATCAACAAGCCTGTATTTATGTACATTGATGAGCCGACTCATGCTCCAGATGGTTCCTGGAGAACATGTTTTAGAGAAAAAAAAGAAAAAAATGTTAGACAATTAGACATTATCTATGATCATCTGCTCCATATCTCTGTCTTGCTACCATGAATGCCTATTCGATATTTAATGAACAAGAGCTAACACAATGCTAAATTATCCAGAAATGTCATACTTCATTGTTTGACAAGTACCTAAACCATCACTGAACATACCACAAAGTTGCTATCACGGTTCATTGATGGTTAACTAGTTCAAACATGTCTCAACTACATCTAAGTTGAAGCTTCTGACTCATGACATCACATAAAATCTTCTAAAGTAAAATGAAGTGGTATGGGGGTGACTAATTACTTTCAGATCCCATTTTTATATGCTTATTTTTTATTTAATGTGATCAAGCAGGTCATAGCCATGGTCATGGTTCTTCAGAATTCTTTTGGTAATGGCATCTTCTGTACCTAAATGCTATAGCTGCAAACGATTCAGGACATCATTATGTCCTCTAACTCTCCTTTATGTCACAGGCAACATACCAGCCTAAGTTCTACTATTTTGCTATAACAACACTTCCACAAATAGCTGCAAGAGAAATGCCATAATTAGAAAATGTACTTTCATAACACTGTTACTAGCTTGAGAAATCAGTGCGTCAAACAGCAGCATCTCTGCTCATGAAAAAGAGAACAAATAATCCGAAAACACAGAGTCTACCTATTTTACTCTTTTGAGTCATACAGTAAGCAACGAAAATAGACTTACAGACACATAGCATTCTCAGTGTTTCATTATCCTCAGTTTTATTCTTACTAAAGGTAATGTGCTTTTATAATTTGTAAATGTAATGTTTTCCTACTCCAAAATTTCTAATTTAGTGATATACTTTTCCGTAGACATTTTTTCCATGTGGTAATGCAACAAGTTAGAGCTTCATTATGAACTCCAATTTATATTTCACATGCAAAGGAAGATCACCTAATGAACAAAAAGATGGGTTCTGTAACCAAATGCCATATTTAAATTGGAAAGCAAAATCACGATGAAGATAATGAACCTGGCAATCAGGTTGACCGTCTCTCTGTGGAAGTTCTCCACTAAACCGAGTGATCTGCAGAAACCAATTAATAACATATAAATCAACAACATGCAATGAAGAGATCCTTTCCTTCTTTCTCCTTTTTGATGAAAACGTGGTAACATGGTTTATCCAAAAATTGAAGACTTAATTGCCATAAATACTAAAAACATCTCAAATTGAAAGCATATGAAGCAAAACTATCCAGAGATATGGCTTTCACCTGTTCATTGTGTGCAGGATGATTATATTTGCACTTGCTTCCATAACCGCAAACACCAGTCCTCAAATAGTAAAGACAATCTGGCTGGCCGGGGCGATCAGGATACTGATTCAGCTGCCCGTCAGCTCCCTCTTGGCCATCCTCGATATTTAACTGCCACATAGCTCCTGCGATCAGGAAACACCACAACTAATTAACCTCGTTTCGTTTTATTTCCCTGCTATAACCCACCCAAATCAATCATCTGCATGCCTGTCCAAAGAAAGTCAATGGAACCAAATTGCACATGCCTAACAAAAGACCGATCAACATGACATTAGAGGCATCAAACAGTAAAGAGCGAAGAAGGAAACGATAAAAGAGGATCGAACAAAAAGCAGAAACCACCTTCAATGTTGTCGGGCGAGGCATGGGAAGAATTGGGAACAGCATTGTGCCTGACGTCGGACATCATCGGAACCAGCGATCGGAACCCAAAACCCTATCGCCACCAAATTAAACTTCACTACAACTAGCCAATCATACCCAACCAAATCCACGGTTTCCCTTCTAATCACCGGATCGATCGCCACTCCCTACACCTCCGATTGGCTATCGGCGGGGCTCACCGACCGATTGGGGCCTCCGGCAGTCGATTACGGGCGCGCAGGGACCGACCAAATCCGCGGTGAATCCAGGGGTTAACCGGCTTCGCTCAGCCTCCCGAATCCGAAGCGGAGAAGGAGACAAGATTGGCTCTCCGACAACGACTTGGATCTCGATGGATCAATCGGGGCGATCTCTCTCTCCCCCTCCCTCTTATTCTATTCTGCTCATTCTTTACCGGGATGTAACCCGAGAAGGAGATCGAAGCAAGAAGGACACGGTATTTATTCCCTTTTAATTAAATTATATTATATCGTCATTAACTATAATTAAATGCTATTATTATTTCTTCGCGGGTAGGTTTAGTTATACTGTCGATTAATGTTGTTAATTAGTTAAATGGAAGAAGTTAACCCCAAGACGTAACTCCCCAGAGTAGGAAGCAAGCGGGCCCCGCAAATTCAATCCACTCGGACAGCACGTAAGCTCGCGGGTTGGTGATGGCGGGTGGCAGAAATTTCCCACGTACGGATCAGTTGGCGACTTAATTGGATTAAAAAACGTGTTAAGAAGGGAACCCATCGACCCACGCTCCGTCAATACGCGTGACTCGTACCCGCTTTACGTGGGAGCAGGGAGACCGTCGGATGGGGGAACCGCGAAAGGGGTGATTTCTTCTGGTGATGGGACGTGGGTCCGGGCGTGGGAAGTGGCGCGTGGCTGTAGCACCGCCCGGTTAGTGAAAGGGACGCTTTCGGCGGCGTATTCCCGCGGGAAGCGAAGGCGTGGGGGAAGGGCCGGCGCTTACGTCAGCCTATGTGGCTCCTTGGACCTCACTACATCCCGATCAGCTGTCTTCTTCGCAACAGCAAACAGATTCTTTGGCCACTTGACACGTGGGCCTATAAAGACCCATGACTAAAACGAGTTTACCTCCACCTATTTTCACTTTTCAATTTAATATATATATATATATGAATTTTAGGTATTTAATATTTATTATTCTAAATTAAAGACGACATGACCCTTTCGAGGAAGTGCTTTCTACTGGCTTTCAAGGTTGCAGCAGCTACAGGTGGAGCAGATGGGAAGGAAGGAGCGCCATATGGGACTCCATCGATTGGGAGTACTGTTAAGGTGTGCAGACATGAGTCAAGAACTCATGCTTGTGACTTGCTATCTCGCGTCCATGTCTCACAGAACAGACGTAATTTTCATGCCTGTCTGTCTTGACTCTCACGGCTGTTGTCCGCCTTAGTGGGAGGAAGGCAGAAGAAACGTCGGTCTTCCCGGTGGCGTTAAGATGAATCGAAACAAAGAAGAGCAAAGGGAAGTCAAACCGTTGCTCCGACAGGGCAGAACAGAGAGTCAAACTGTACTTTCCGGGTAAGCAGACGAGCTTGGATAGTCGCGCAAGGAAGGTTCGTCATCCCGTTCTTCGATCCAAACCAAATAGGAGAAGTAGGGCAGGTGGCGGTCTCCATACCTGCAACGATTGTGAAACATGCATCTGGAAGACTGACTCTTTGGTTCGAGGGAGGACAGAACTATGACCTGTCCTTGGACCTTTAGTGTGTCAGATTCTTGGAGGGTTCTCCAGGTTTGACCACCATAATCTTTGCTTTCTTCATGATCTTGGAGGAGGAGAAGACCCACACGTATTACCGATGTCAGTGTGTTTGTGTTAGAGGAAGTTGATATGTCATGTGTCAGTCTCCCTTATTATTATGGTGTTGAACACAGGATGATGAAGTCCATAGTAGCCGCCAGAATTTTCAGTGCTGGCAGAAGTAGGCAGGTGATCTATTTTAGTCATCTGCCATGGAGGAATCAAAATGGAGCCAATGGTTAGTCCACAACAGTACAGAGAAGGTAAAGAAGCATGCGTTCCTCATTTCCTATTCTAATTCGGATGCATCGACATGGTCACATCGGAGTCAATGGAAGAAGCCATGCTCGGTGAGCAAATTGGGCGATAAATAGGCGGAGGATCAAAATGGCCACCGATTACTGAGCCCCATCTCCCTCCCTCCCTCCCTCCCCTTCGATCGATTCGCTTGTTTGTGGTGATGGAGAAGGTAGGAGACAAGAGGAGCATGTCAAGGAGGCTTGTTGCTTTGGTCCTGTTGTTGCTTCTGCTTCCCACTACCTCCCGAGCCGCGTCGGAGTACAGGGAGGCCCTCGCCAAGAGCCTGCTCTACTTCGAGGCGCAGCGCTCCGGCCGCCTCCCCTACGACCACCGCGTCTCTTGGCGCGGTCACTCCGGCCTCACCGACGGTCTCGAACAAGGGGTCAGTGGCCACTCGTTCGGTGATGATGCTGATCTCGTGTTCGTCTTCTCAAGCTGCTTAATTGCTGCAGGTTGACTTGGTTGGAGGATACTACGACGCAGGGGACAATGTCAAGTTCGGGTTGCCGATGGCGTTCACCGTAACGATGCTGTCGTGGAGCGTGGTGGAGTACGGCGGCGATATCGCGGCGGCCGGAGAGCTGAAGCACGCGTTGGAGGCCATCAAATGGGGGACTGACTACTTCATCAAAGCCCACACGCATCCTAACGTTCTCTGGGCGCAGGTACGTATTGCGACACATCCGGTGACGACGACTTCCATATCCATGGAGGCAAACCATGAACGAGTCAGTCGTCTTCTCGTTGGTTCAGGTCGGGGACGGCGACACCGACCACAGCTGCTGGCAAAGGCCAGAGGACATGACGACGTCGAGACAAGCGCACAAGATCGACGAGGAGCACCCGGGGTCGGAGGTCGCAGGAGAGACGGCTGCGGCCATGGCGGCGGCGTCCATAGCGTTCAAGGAGACCAATCCACATTACTCTCACGTCTTACTACACCACGCTCAACAGGTCGGCTTCAGCACCGCTCGTGTGTGATGCCTCCACGACCAGCTTCTGATCGAAGAATCCTTCTTCTGGGGTTGCAGTTGTTCGAGTTCGGCGACAAGCACAGGGGGAGGTACGACGACAGCATCGGGGCGGCGAGGAGGTATTACCCGTCGGGGAGCGGCTACGGCGACGAGCTGCTGTGGGCGGCGCTGTGGCTCCACCGGGCCAGCGGGAGCGAGGAGTACTTGAATTACGTGCTGGACAACGCATACGACCTGAACGGTGCTACGTGGGCGATCTCTGAGTTCAGCTGGGACATCAAATATGCCGGTGTTCAGATTCTTGCTTCCAAGGTAAACCCTCCTCTCTCTTTCTTCTTGTGATGACGATGATGATGATGATGATGATCATTGATCCATTGATAGGAAATAACAACACTAATCACAATCAATTTGACTTGAACTCATAAATTCCTACAAGTTTGGCTATTGTTGACAAAACTACATTGCACCAACTAATTGGATTGTCATGTTGTGGAAGAGAAGGGAAATAGCAATTTGGTCAACCAAAGCCTGAGGTGCAGTTTGACCTTAGAAATGCAATGATGGGGTGAGTTAGGTAGGGTATGGAACTTTGTGTTCTGTTCTGATGCACATAGTCTTTGATTACATCATGTTTGAAATTGGATCTGAGGATGGTCAAAACCATATCCCAATTCTCCAAGTTCTCTTGGCAAGATGACAAACCCTAGTTGCTTGTTTTCTGTTCTTGATGGAATGAGACATTTAAACGAACACTTTGTCACAGAGAAAGGAGCCCCAAATAGTTGTGTTCTTATCGATAATGATGGCTTCTAACTCTTAGTTGTGCTGTGGCTTTAATGCTACTACAGCTGTTGATGGAGGGAGGAAGAGATCTACGAGAGGAGCAAGTGAGCATATTGGAGCAGTACAGAGCAAAAGCACATCACTACTTGTGCTCTTGTCTCAGCATGAACGACGACGATAGCGGCAGCAACGTGGCCCGCACACCCGCCGGCCTCCTCTTCGTCCGCCGGTGGAACAACATGCAGTACGTGGCGGGTGCCGCGTTCCTCCTCGCCGTCTACTCCGACTACCTCGCTGACTCCGGGGAACTCCTCCACTGCCCGCGGGGCTCCTCCGGCTCCGAGGACCTTCTCTCGCTCGCCAAGTCCCAGGTGGACTACGTCCTGGGGTCCAACCCCAGGGGCATCAGCTACCTGGTGGGGCACGGTGGCAGGCACCCGAGGCGGGTGCACCACAGAGCCGCTTCGAGTGTGTCCTACAAGGTGGACCGGGCGTTCGTCGGCTGCACGCAGGGGTTCGACGAGTGGTACGGCCGGGGGGGCGATAACCCGAACGTTGTGGTGGGAGCGCTCGTCGGAGGCCCCGACGACAAGGACGAGTTCAGCGACGTGAGAGGGAACTACGTCCAGACGGAGGCATGCACGTACAACACGGCGCCCATGGTTGGAGTCCTTGCAAAGCTCAGTGCAAAGCTGGAAGAGCAGCAATGACTTGACTGTTGAGAGGAGCACAAATATTTCTTTTCTTCTTTGGTTCCTTAAAGAGAATAGAAGTTCAAATGTAAAGATAGAAGAAATATGATACTCGCTTTGATCCGACATCAAATATGAACGAGAGATACATATACTAATGCTACATAGTCTCACATGGAATATGAGGGCAATCAAAGTATGAACATTGGTGAGGCATCTCATGGGCAGGAAGATGAATGCAAGTGAGTGGATCAAAGAAGATTCCTCATTCGCATGTCAATCCAATTACCATTGAAATGAAAATAGTCAACGATGTGGAATGTCTCAGGTCACAGTGGAGGACAATGCCATCAAAAGATCCAAGGAACAGTGTCCCACTCTCCACGGAGTAGTTGTGAGGGGATTGTGATGGATTTGACAGATCTGATCTTCGTATCCTCACACAATAGAAATTGAAATCCTGGATTTGATTCTTAGATCACTTTCGTTTAAGAAGAGTTAGATCAACATCTCCCACTTAGCATTATGTCTACGGGGGCTTAATGGCCTCTCGTGGATTGTTGTTGACTATGAAGGTCGATAGAAATATTCCGAATGAACTCCCGTGAACTATTGTCAACGGGGATCGATATATCATAACCACCGTCACATCATTGCCTAGTAGAGGGTGATTCATCCTTTTTCATCCATATCAATGTCTATGGGGTGACTAGTTGACGGAGAAGGATTGATTATCAAAATATTTCCTATCAATCAAAGATGTTAATATCACAATCAACATGACAATTAGTTGACAGAGATTTGCCAAAAAAAAAAAAAACAAACAAACAAAAGAACAAAAAGATCCCAACAAGCATATGATGTGTATCTCATTCAATATGAAGTGGCACCAATGAGCAACAAAACTTGGTTTGACAAAACTTGTCTGCTGCTTAAACAAGTTCATATAACAACAGGAACCATTCACAAGTACTTGGCATATGCGGACATTTCTTTTAGATAAACAAAGCTTCTTACTTCAGTGGTTTGTATGTTCATCATGTCATGGAAGGCAAATAAAATTTAAAGCAGTCTAGCCCTAATCTTTGGGTCCAAGAATTTTACAAGCATGTCATAGTGGTGCAGATAATCATGGAGTTTTAGCAACTGCAATTGTCTTTAAATGGTAGGAACTGACATTGCTGCTATGCATCGAGTTATAGTTTCTGAATGACAACTGAATTAGCAAGGCCGGCTTCCTCGATCGTCTTGCTCGGATCATTGAGCTGCTTGGGTGGAAAACCAACTGTTTGTAGCTGGTAAGAACTTGGTGCCCCGGGCCTAGATGCATCGATGAAAGACCGTATATTTGCTATGGTGTGTTGGGTGTTGAAACGCGCAATCATCCTGGTCCCGTCCGCCAACCTCAGCTGGATGGTAGTAGATGGCTTAGATTCGTCAACGGCCAGGCCTGTGGACGATGAGGGAGTACTACTGGATGCTGTGGCAGTGTCAGCAAGCTCACTGCCAGAACTGTTTGAGGATCCACTTCCTAGTGTCCTACCTGCGCCCTGAAATGGAGCAAGGCGTCTCGCAGGTTCCTGCCAAAGAGAAATAATCAGGAATCCCGGGCTGCAAGAAAATAATGAGGTCAATCTGAAGGTTTACGTTACACATACAGGACAATTTTCTGCCCTCCTTACGAGATTGACATGTACCACGGACCTCCTATCTGCTGGCTCGAGCTCTTTTGGGCATTCAGACTTCATAATGCTCTGCACAAAAGCCACAAAGATTGCAACATCTTAAAATTGGATTAGGATATAGAAGAACAAGTCATCTAACTTTTCACTAAAGCAATCAAGCAACATTGATTTAGCAACAAGTTTATACTTGCTTAAATGAATGGATGCAGCAGATGCCTAAGAGAACCCATGAAGCAACTAAACACGAGAACTTGAAGATACAATAAATCAAGATAAGATAGATGGTAGCACCAAAATAAAGCAAAAATAAAATTGTTCCCTAAAAAGTTAAAAAGAAAGTTTTCCTGAAGGATATGCTCATCTTTGTTTCCAGTAAACGAACTCAATAGATCTAAATTAAACGACACTGATGTGTACAATGGATAAACAAACTCTTCAACAAAGTTGATCTCCTATAAGAATCTATTAATTTAATCTTTACCAATATGTGCAGGTCCAACTAATTGTACCCACAAAAATTGACAACTTCAAGAACGGTAAGAGGGGACATGTCTGGTCATCTTGATGAGGGCCAAGAGACCATGAAACTTCAAATTGGAGGCAAGAAGACATTTTACAAGAGATTGTAAATAAAGTTTACCGCAAATTCCAAATGTATTTAAGTTGCTTATCCAGAAAATCTAACTAGCACTCGAGCAACTAAAATTGAGGGCTTTACACCAGTTATAAATTTACATCATGAACAATAATACTATCAGACTTTTGAAAAAAAATAGTGGTATTCAGTTCACCAATAATCTGAACATGTTAAATAGCAACAGAAGAAATAATAAACCATACTAGGGAAAGCCAAAACCAAGCCACTGCATAATCACAAACAATCCATAAGCACTGTGGTTCTGCTTGAAGGTGAATTCCACAGAACAGTCAAATCCTTATTAGGTGAAATCTTCCTGATATCTAATACAATAAAGCCAAAGAGATTGACATCGATGTAGCAAGAACATAAATCGTGCTAGAACATATGTAAACTAAATCCGCTCTAGGTCCAATAATTCATTGTCCAGTATATAAACTTTACATGGGTCATATCATATTAACATGACTAACATAACAAAATAGAATAAAAGTATGCATGATCGACAGAATGATGAACAGCAGAATTTCATTAACTTGGAATGAAGAATGCGAAAATCCAGTACCTAGAAAACATATGCTGTGGAACATGAATGAGCTACAAATAATGTTACCTCTAAGAAGGGTGCATTTTCAGGATCATCAAACCTCCTCAATGGACCATCATTAACAGTAAATCCATTGGTCCAAAAGTGGATATCATGCACTATGTTTTCAGGTTGCTGGGGAGCAGCAGGGACTGTTTCACCTGATAGGAGTCTACCAGTTCCGGTAAAACTTCTTGAACTTGATGATGGATGATTAGCCTCGATTGGTCCTTGCATGGCTCCCATCTGCCTAGCTTGCTCAAATATGCCATCCACATTATGACCATGTTTTGATGGATCTTGAACCAGCATCCCACTGCATAACTGACTATGTTATCGTCAAACTGAAAAAATCTCACGAGAAATAAAGCTACTATTTTTCTACCAAAAGTAATCTGTAATTCAGAGAGATGGACCTCATACAAGTTTACTTTTGTTCATAATACATGGTTAACTAGTGATTTTGCTAAAATGTTCACATGTGAAGAAATAAGAACATCATACCTATAATCATTTTTCACATACAACATAGTAAACGAAGTTAGCATTTAGCATAACAGAATTTCACATTTTGAAAGTTAGCTAACATATTAATATTTTGTAGATTTATCCACTGTATAAACCATGCCACTGATCACTAACATGATCTTTGATGTAAAATGAAAGAAGATAAAAATTTTAAACTGGTTTCCAGATCTTAAACATCGAGAACATCAGTAATGCTCAAATTTATTTACCTTCTATCGTGTTCATATCACTTTAAACCATTATCCTTTATTCTATTCACAATTGAAATTTGAAACTATGCCTATTTGTTCCCATAATGTATGTATACTTTATTTTCCCTTTCCCAATAACTTCAACTTCACTCATCCATCTTGGTACAGTCATCTCAGCATCAATCTCATTGATACAAAATAAAATGGTCACAATTCCAACCTTATGGAAATTCAACCACCACAAAACTCAAAGCTAATTATTATGGGAATACATAGATAGCATCAGTAAACCTACAATTATTTCTGTTACAACAGCAATGCAATTTTGTCTCTATAATCCAATAAATAGGTCTTAAGACTCATCAAATAAGAAAGATATATGGAGCAATTAACATGCTAATCAGAGAACCTCAGGGCTCACAATGTTTTCAAGAAAAGATGATGTAGAACTCCTCAACCAACACAAACACATGCTTCCCAATCTTCCAACCAAAATTTTGAATTTGACTACCTGCCATGAACTTCAATTTTATTGTTTGGAGGAGATCTCTTCAATGACATTAAAATGACAATAACTATGTCATGCAAAAATAAATCTGATTCGAACGAGGCACTAACTATCCTCTCTATTTGATACGAGGAATTATTTTCTCTCCAGCAATAGAACCATCATCCAATTTAGAGGCGCGAGCCAATCCACCACACAGCGGAAAGTGGCTCTCCTGATCTCGAGAATTCCCACGGACCCTATCCAATTAAAATAGACCTACTCTACCAGAAGTCTACCGGAGAATTCGCAGTGAATTAACAGGGGTCGGAAGGGAAGTGAAAGCAGCGGCGTGATCATCGATCGTATCTCCACGATGAAGAAATCAAGGATCATGAGGGTGAGAGATCAACCTCTTCTCGCCGCCAGTGTAGTACTCCTGAGGCCCGTCGGAGTCGCTATCGGAGCCGTGGCCGGAGCTCCGATTCAGATCCGCGAGGGTCCGGATGGTCGGCCGGTTCCCTAACGGCTTCTTGTTGCCTCCCCTAGAACCCATCGCTGCAGGAAGAGGAGGACGACGCGGAGCGGATCGCTGAAGGCGGAGAGGCGGTGGCAGTAGAAAGCGCAGTTGGAGGCGTGCAATTGATCTTCTCCGTCTTTGTCGACGCCTTTAATGGGGGAGTTTGAGACGCCGACGATGGTTTCGAACTTGAAGTATCCACCGTCCCTTCTTGGTAGATCTAATATCCGACGGTGGAGAATCCCCGGCTCCGATTGCCATTTGTTTACGTTGGACGACCTCGTATCATTCGAGCAAGACTTTACTAACAATTTGCATCATACCAAAGGGCTTACCTTATTTTTAATGGATAGTTTAAGCAGGACCCACCGTGTGCCCCACGTAAGGAACATTGCAGTGTGCCACATATAATTACCATTGCTTCCTCCATTATATATATATATATATATATATATATATATATATA